TTATGTCCGGGAGCGTCGAGCAAAGTGACGGCACGCTCTTTGGTTTCAAAGCGAGACTCTGCGATATCCATAGTAATGCCGCGACTCCTCTCTTCTTGTGTCTCATCCAAAACCCAGGCGTAAAGAAACGAATTTTTGCCCATTTTTTTCGAATCAGTTTCGTATCTATGAATCGCTTTTTGTGAGACAAAACCCAAACGATATAACAGATGTCCCATAAGAGTGCTTTTGCCGGCGTCCACGTGTCCGATCACAACCATATTGATATTCGGTTTCCCTGTATTTCGATTCTTATTGTATTCACTCAACGCTACCTCCGGAGTCAATGCCTTCGTTTGTAGGGGTTTTGATGCCTTGCTTTCGGAGGCCCTCTCGTGATTCGGTGACGACATTCTGGATCCGGTTCTGCTAGAGATGGGAGAGTTTGGACTCGAGTACTGATGATAATTGCTGTCTAATCGCGATTTGTCTAAATCTTTGCGAACAGGACTCGAAAGTCTATTGTAACCCAAATTTACGGTTAATTTCAGAAATTCAAAAAATTAAACTCGAAATTGTGTTTAACTCACGCTTTAAGATTGGGTTCACTTTTATTAACAGTCAATTGTCCCAATGTTTTATTAATTTTGGCCACTTCTGCATCACATGAGTCACGTATTTCTGTGTAAATAGAATTAATAATTTCAATATTTTAGAGACAATGAGACAACTCTACAACAGAACCTCTATTTCCAGGTTTGAGATTTCTTATGCAATCGTCTGGAGATTCGGTCTCAAAATTAAACACTTTTATATCGTTTCGATCAAAGTATTCAATTAAAGATTGCTTTATATCGCAATTACGAGTGCTTTTTATCTCATTATTTGTATTGCATTTTGCGGTCAGACTTACAAATAGAGGAGAACTACTCTTTGACTTTTCAGTGCTATATATTTGCTTAAAGTCGCTATTATTTGCGACCGAATTCATTGATTGCCTTTCGCTCACACTTTCCAATCGCTTACCTAAAATACAATTCAAAATCATATCATATTTAGTCATTACAATGTATACTCATATGTTTAATGTTTAATTTTAGTTTTAAACTCTTAATAATGTATGAAATGTACAGTAAAGCAACTAAAAACGTGCATTTTCTCGAACCTAATACAGCATAATAATAACTATCGCAATTATTTTACCGGTTTTTAGCATTAGCTAAATAAAGCGTTTTATGAGTAATTAATGCATTAATTGTTTTAGGTTACAGTCATATCAATATTATATGACACTATTTGACCCTGTTAATTGCTTTGAAAAGCCCCATAGAAAACAAAGTTTTGATGTACAGTATGTACCGGCAATTAATACAGAGTTTAAATAAATAGAAATATCAAAATTTAAATAAAAGTTACATTTGAATGCAATATTAAGAAACTTGTCTGAGAATGCAATCAAATTGATCATAATATTGATGAGTATTTGGGAGGACATGGAATCAATGCTATCAACTGAGCACTCATTGAAAGCATGCAATTAATAAATACCTGTATTGATGGCTGAATTGATGGCCCCATTTGTCTGACTCTGCAAACTATTAGTGTGAACGTTAAGAACTGAATCCAATGCCAATTTGATGTCATAATTATGAATCTTTGCCGCTCTTATGAGTAAACTCTGAGGTATTGTCTCTCCGACCACATTCTCCATCTCTTCCACACACGATATCAGTTTGGCTTTCATTGAACAATACATTTAAACATTAATTAGGAAAACATTTTTAGCTAATTATTAAATTATATTTTAAAATGTTGTCTAATATTTGCATAAAATTGCACTTAAAGTCAATGTTAGCTTTGATTGTTAGCTTAAAGTTACCTCTTTCTAATTGATCCATATCTGAACCATTCTTATAGAAATCGAGATCTTCTTCGTCGTCGTCCTCTTCAGCGGTACTCGTATTCATCAAATCGACGGACGGATCGCTGTTTTGTCTTTGAGACGAAGATTGTGACCGATTGTACATAAACTGACGCTCTGTTCAATCAATACAAACTGTGATTATCTGTAATGTCTTAATGAATGGTAAGCTTTGAATGGATGGCAAA